CTTTGGTACCCCACAGCGCGTCATAACCATTTATTTTGCCGAACTCAGACACCGGCTGTTTCCGATGCTGCGGCGCTGCCCTGGCGCAAAGGTTTGCTAGGACGCGGGGAGCCATCGTAGCACTGACGCCTTTCCCCCTCATCTCTGCTGCTGAGCCGCCGGTGAGGCTCCAGCTGTGATTTCCAGCCTTCCTTGAGGATGAGAAACCCCAAATCACCGGCCGCAGGAGCTGCAGCATCCATGGGATGTTGGCTAGCTGGGACCCCGGGACAGCTGCGATACCTCCCTGTTTGGCGAACCCCAATAATCCCCCAGGTTTAAATAAACCCAAATTGCATCCCACTCTTCCAAATGATGTCCACGGGCACGAAGCAGCCCTACGACCGCGGCCGCCTGCCCGGCAGCCCTGCCGTAGGCAGCCCAGAGCAGTACCTACGCAGCGGGGCTCCTGCCCGGTCCAGCTGCCGTTGGCCTGGCACGTCCGCGTGCTGGAGCCCTGGAGCTGGAAGCCCGGGTCGCAGGTGAAGTGAACCTCGTGCTCCACCAAATACTTGGTGCCAAACTTCCTCCCGTCCGCGGGGGCTTGCAGGGCAGGGCAGGAGGCTGCAAGAGCACCGTGGGGAGGGGGGGGGAAGGTGTCAGTATTCAGGCGGGTGCTTTGGGGGAGCACTGACTTAACCTTTCCCGTCCCCAACTCTACCACGGTTCACCCAGTTCCACCAAGAACTCTTTAACTGTTATTTTCCTCGAATATTGGCCTGCTGAGGTTAATGAGTTACATCCAGCCCCACAGTGGGGCTGAGCATCACTGGCAAGGGCTTTGGTGGCATTTTTGCCACCTCTCTCAGGCTCCCAGCACAGGACTGCGGCTCTTTTGCTGGAGACATGGTTTTCCAGCCCACTCCCCTCCAGTGCTTTGCCGGGAGCTCTCTGCTTTGCAGCTAAGGGCTTTTGAGCCGGAGAAGTGCTTGAATTCACACCCACAAATTGCCAACACGGGAACAGGTATCTCCACCTGTGGAGACGCCCAAACCTCCACCCGTCACAGCCCTGAGCATCCTGACCTGCCCACCCCAGCGTCCTCTGAGGCCATAAAAGCAACCGGTGGGGCCCAGGGAGGACTCACCGGCCGGCGGCTCGGGGGCGGCGTTGGGCAGGGAGGCGGGCACGGGGCGCAGCCCGGG